AAAACCGTGCCACTGCCAAGCTACTCCAACGTTAAGCCAGACTTACTGCTGGGACTTGACAACTCGTTCCTCGGTGTCGCGCGTAATATCGTGGGCGACGGACACAACCAACCAATTGCCGCTGAAACAAATTTGGGATAGGTTGCATACGGACCACTGCAGGGTTGTGAGGGGGTGAGAAGAAAAGGGACGAGTACACATGCGTCTGTACCGTCAAGTCGTTTCAACTTTCTTGCTTTGCTTTTGGCATTTTCGTTGCTTCCCATTTAAAGAACCAAAAACTTGAATTCAACAGAATTGAAACGTGTAAAAGCAAATAGAAAACACAAAAGAGAATGAGCAAATATTGCTTTCAAGTACTTGAATCATGTAAATCGGGTGTAACATTGAAAAGTACGGGATCGCTTTCTAGTAAAAAATGGGAACTTCTGTCAACTTCAACATAACCTCCAAATTTTGGTTGTAAATTTTTGCTTATTTTGTATGTAAACACACTCAGCTCACACATGTAAATAACCAAAAATACTTTCAAATTCATTAGAATCCACTTAAACAAGTAATTAAATACTTTTCAACATGCAGAGTGCACTTTTCTTTTGTTTACAATTTGGTTCCCAAACACACTACAGCTGATCGTTTGACACATTTACCAGAATATAGGTTTGTTCGTCGAGCAAAAAATTTGTACGAATTTGTACGAATTATCACGAATTTTGCCCAAATCGCGTTCGTGCAGACCAAAAAAATATCCAACACTCAAAAATTGTGAGAGCAAAGTGACAGTTCTCTTGGAGAGAAGTTGCAAATTCTTGCTGGATGAAGAAATTGAAATGTATGTTAAAGAAAGTCAGAACAACAAGAAATATACATGTATATCCTGTTTTTGGCCATCCGAAAGAATTTTAAAAATTCTATAAAAATTTTTTATGTTGTAATGCAACCGTGGACGCCAGCTGGCAGCGAAACTTGCAAATTCCTGCAAATTTGCGTTCGTGCAGAAATTTGCAAGTTTCTCAACATGAGAGAGAATTTGAGAGAATTTTTTCTTACTCTCTGATATTTTGAGTGTTGGATAATTCTTGCTGGATTTTCGACGAACAAACCTTATACCAGCAAAAAATTCTCGGACTAAAAAACTGGTAACTTCTGACAGAGAGAGAACCGTATTTACTCTCTTTTTTGTCCTCTCAATAGTCAGAGAACCGAGTACGGGATCGATTTCCAGTAAAATCTGACTGATTCTGACTATTTCTGACTAGTCCGGACTCGTACGGGATCGCAACTATAATTTGACTGTATACTGTGATTTGACTGTTGAGGGTCACAACAAACCAAGACCGCAAAAAATATAT